TGGAAGAAATGCAGTTTTCCTCCCACATGCCCCATCGAGCCCCCCCTCCCTGCCCCACACTGGGTAGTACTAAGGGGCCTGACCCTGCATGGGCTGTGGGTGCAGCCACCCCAGCTCCCTGCACCTGCTGGGAGCCCCAGCCGGGCTCACAATCCCAGCTGTCTGCGGTGGGAGGGAGCTGACCCCCTGCCCTCTGCTGGGACTGAGCTCCCCAAGGCCGCTGCTCTAGCGCCATCTCGCTGCCCGGCCAGCACTGCCACGCCGGGCTGGGCCACAGCGATCCAGGGGTCCCTGCAGGGAGGCTGAGCGCTGGGGAGGTGGCCAGCCCGTGGGAAAGCCGCTCAGAGCACAGAGGGGACCCACAGGGCAGTCAGAGGAGGGGACAGGCTGGTGAGGCCCCGCTTGTCCCTCCCCCCGGGCCCAGCTGAGCTCCCTGCCTCAGCCAGGCTGGCTCGGGGGCTGGGCTGAGAGCACAAGGGCCACGCGCCTGCCTGCAGGGAGGCTGAGCGCTGGGGAGGTGGCCAGCCCGTGGGAAAGCCGCTCAGAGCACAGAGGGGACCCACAGGGCAGTCAGAGGAGGGGACAGGCTGGTGAGGCCCCGCTTGTCCCTCCCCCCGGGCCCAGCTGAGCTCCCTGCCTCAGCCAGGCTGGCTCGGGGGCTGGGCTGAGAGCACAAGGGCCACGCGCCTGCCTGCGCGTGCCGGGCAGGCGTGGCAGAGACCCCCCCACCCCCCGCAGCCCCACCCGGCCCTGTCACCCATTCCGGAGCCCCCAGACACGCAGCTTGGGACACAGGCAGGCTCATCCCCGTCTCACGCTCCCTGCTTTGCCTCTCCCTGGGGCCAGGCCGCGGCCCCTCCGGCACCACACTCAGCGCCCCCCACGCACGCACGTGCCAAGGCGGAGGGGCCCAGGCCGCGCGGCCGGCTCCCTCTGCCCCACAGCGCTGCGGCCGCAGGACACCGGCTGCTCTCTGCCAGGCGGGGAGCTGGGCCTTGGCGCCGCGCCCGACAATGGAGCAGCAGTTTGCGGCTGCCAAGGCCAGGAGGCAGCGGCTGCAGGAGCAGCACCAGCGGCTCATCCAGCAGGAAGCCCTGAGGCTGGAGGAGCAAGCGGGGAGCCAGGAGGTGAGTGGGGGATGGGGTGGCCAGGGCCCGGGCCCAGGGCCGTTGTCCCAGCTGGCAGGCCAGGGCCAGGGCCAGGCCGTAGAAGTGCAGCCGGCCAGCCCAGGCTGCCGGGCCGGCGCGGAGGGAAACAGGCATTTGGCGGCACTAGGGGCCACACCCCGGGCCTAGGCACAGGCTCTGGTGGCAGCAGGACGCGGGCAGCCAAGCACAGGGATCCCTGGAGCTGCTGCCCTGATCCGCAGGCTCTCCCACTGCACGGCAGCCTCTGCCCGGGGGCCATGGTGGCACCGACCCAGGGAGAGTCCTGGCCCCGCCGTGGAGGCGGCTTCGGGGGCACCCGCCTGCCAGCTCGGAGAGACGGGAACACACAGCCCCAAGGCAGGAGCAGGGCCCCTGGGGCAATAAGCCGCTGGGGAGGGCAAAGGGGACCTTGCGGAGCTCGGGGGAAGCTAGTCCAGGTGAGGCACTGAACTGCCACCTGCCTCGCCCCTCCCCCGGGCCCAGCTCAGACTGAAGGGCAAGTGGGGCGCAGGCAGGAAGAGGCCGGCGTGCATGCGGGGCGGGGAAGGAGTCTTCCCAGGGCTGCCCTGCGAGGGGAGGCCAGCGCCCAGGTGCTCTGCCTGGACAGCCAGAGGCAGGGCCCCTTCCCGGCCGGGTGAGCCGGGTGGTTGGGCAGGGCCCCAGCCCGTCTGCGGGGACCAGGGCGACTCCCCACAGCTGCCCGAGGGCTCTCGCCCCCCCCCCGGACGCGCCGCGCTGGCCGCAGGAGAGGGCGCTGCTGGCCCTGCAGCTGGAGGCGCGGCGGCGGGAGCAGGCCGAGGCGGAGAAGGACCTGGAGGCCCTGTGGCAGCAGCAGCGCTGGGAAGCGGAGACTCACAAACACCACGTCCTCCAGGTCACCTGCTACAGGGTTCGACGGCCTGGGTCCGGCCCCGGCAGCCCACTGGGAGCCAGTCCCCTCAGCGGGGGGGTCGGGGCTCCCCAGGCAACGCCTTGGGCGGCCTGTCGCCCACTGGCCAGTCCCGCCCCAGAACCGGCTGGCACCAGGCGGCCCCTTTGTGGGCAGACTCAGCAGAGCAAGGGCTGAGTTCTACCCGGCAGCCCCTCGGGCCTGGCTCGAGGGCGATATATCGGGGTGCTGGCCAGGCTTCCTTGTAAGCTGGGCGCTTGGGCGGCCATGCAGGAGAAAGGCCAGTGCTGCCCAGCTGCTCAGCAGACTGCCCACAGCCAGGTCTGTGTACTGGTGGTGCACAGTCGCACATGGCTGAGTGCACAGCCGATTTATTCCACACACGGACAGGAAAACATATGGGGCACCCTCAGCCCCATAGCACTGTTCCCTCTCTGCACGGCCAACTAGCCTGGGTCTTCACAGCCTCTCCCAGCCTGCTGAGAAAGCCAGTTAGCCAGCTAGGGCCTGCAGGCCTCCAGCCCAGGCCTGGCTAGTAAATCCCCAGCGGACAGCTGGGTGCGAGATGGCCAGGCAGCGAGAAGCCGCCGCGCCCGGGCAGGTGGCTGGCTGAGCCCTTACACAGATCAGGGGATACTTCCTGTGAAACTGGCTCTTCAGAACGGCACCATCTTCCCCCGCTTCCGCCCCGGGCAGCAGGGATGGCGCCTCAGCTGGTCCCTGCTGCAGAGGCATCAGGGAAAGACACCCGGCCCCAGGCCCTGAGCCTGCCCCAGCCCCAGCTCTCCGGATGCCTGTGTTGAGGCAGGGCGGGGGCAGGCCACGGCTCAGGGGCCCCCTGCTCTCCACAGGTGTTTCGGGCTTATCGGGGGCTCTGGGAGGAGCAGACTGAGGCGCGGGAGCGACGGTACCGGAAGCTGCTGCAGGAGACGCTCCAGGACGCCATCTCCCTGTCTGCGCAGAACCAGCAGCTCCGGGCACAGCGCCAGCCGGGCAGCACCGAGCGTGCCGTGCAGACAGAGCCAGGAGGCCGAGCAGGGCCATAGCACCAGTGCACTGGGCAGACGTATCTGCCCGAGGGAGCCACCGGCAGCAGGGCAGGGAGAGGCCACTTGGGTAACCCTGGGCCAGCCTCTCTTACAGCCCAGGCAGGGCCGGCTGAAATAAACCAACGCGATTCCCAGTCACCAGCGTGTTCAGAGGTTCCGAGGAGGCTGGGATGGGAAAAGTTAACTGGGTTCCCGGGAAGCAGCAGGGTTACCGGGAACTGGTTATCGTCTGCGCAGCGGGTTGGACTCAAGGGCCTCCCGAGGTCTCTTCCAAGCCGAGGGGTCTATGATGGCCACCTGGAGCAGCCCGACTGGCGGGGCCCCTGCCCCACAGCGGCAGCTGGATCCAAGCCCCAGCTGCTCTGTACCAGCCCCCCACCAGGTAACATATAGGGCACTCATTAGCCAGTAACTGTTTTAAGGGGTATTTAAAGGTCAGACTAGGGCCTCTGGTGCAACCAGTCTCCTTGCCCTCCAGCAGACAGAAATGAGACAGGCACAAGGGCTGGGAAAGTGCAGGTTTAATACCACAGGCAGCACCGGAGCACAAGCCCCAGCTGCTCTGTACCAGCCCCCCACCAGGTAACATATAGGGCACTCATTAGCCAGTAACTGTTTTAAGGGGTATTTAAAGGTCAGACTAGGGCCTCTGGTGCAACCAGTCTCCTTGCCCTCCAGCAGACAGAAATGAGACAGGCACAAGGGCTGGGAAAGTGCAGGTTTAATACCACAGGCAGCACCGGAGCAGGGAAGACACGAATTGACCATGGTCAAACCTGAGTCGGTACAAATCCAGACACCAACCCACCACTTGTCCAGGCTAAGCAGTCGCCGTGCTCCAGCTGCTTGTGCCCCAGGGGCAAGCAGAGGCCTGCGCAGAGGGAGATGGGCAGCGCGCCAGGAGAGGAGGAACAGCTGCAGAGCATGGCTGCTGCCAGAGGAGGGCTTTGGTGCTTTGTAACAGGTGAGAGCAGCAGAGAGGAGACGCGCCCGGCTCTGCATGAGACCAAGGGCTCCAGGCAGCTCACTGCACAGGGCTGCGCAGACCGGGTCTAGGCCCCGTCCCAAGGCACTTTGGATCTGTGCAGGCCGGATCAGCAGCCAGAGAGAGAAGGAAGCAGCCTGCATCACACACGGGGTCCCTGAGCTGGGAACGGTGCTGCTCAGCTGTAGCAAGTCGCTCGGAGCCCTCCAAGAGAGGACCCAAGGCCCAGAGCTCAGGCAACCAGGGGAAATGGGGGGTGGGCCCAGAGGACCTCGTTAAACAGCTGTTATTGCCACTGGCTTAGCCTTCACAAGGAAGCCCTTTCACCCCTCCCCCAAAAGGGAAACATTGGGCCTGATGCTGCAGAGACCAGCACCACGCAGGACAGAGAGCCCGTGCCACAAACACGTCCTGTCCCGCAGCGACCAATCTCCTTCGTGCCACACAGCAATCGTGCAACTCCTTGCAGCGCACAAGCTAGCGGCTTGGGATAGCCAGTCGCGTTCAGCTACAGCGTACTGCTTGTCCCTGACCTCAGGGGGTGGGCTCCGAAGGGAATCTGCCGTTTAGGAGCATCCAGGCCAGACTGATGCATGTTACATAAAAAAGAGATTAAAAAAAGCAACAAGCACTTGCCCCCCAACAGCCCAGCTGTGGCCTCCCTTCCAGGCATCTCCCCCAGAGCTGCAAAGCGGAGTCTATCTATCTGACTCCGTAGTACAAGTGAACGGCCATGCCGATCAGCAGGACAGCGAGGAAGAAGAAGGCCGTGAGCTGCAGGCTGAAGAGCAGGACGGAAAGGAGGGCATTGACGAGCATGGAGCAGGAGATAACGAAGAGCCTGGTGATGTTGCTGCTGTGCTTCATGACCACAGACATTATCAAGCCATTCAGGGCCTGGCTGAGCACGATTACCAGCACCCAGAAAGAGAAGCCGTCCAGGAACCCAGCCCCGCCACTGCTCAAGAGCAGAAGGAGGAAAGGAAGAGGTTCTGGAGGGCCAGGGGCAGACCTTGGGTTTTCAGGATGACTTCGGTGTAGACAGCAGACAGGCCCGAAATCAGGCAGTACACGGAGATGAGCAGCAAGCCAAGCAGGGTGACGTGCAGCTGCATGTCTGAGGAGCTGGGGGCGTGCTGCACGTCCTGGAGGCCGCCATAGGCGGGAAGAGGGCCAGCCACTTGTGCAAAGAGAGTCTTTGGTGCAGGAACATGCTGTAGAGGAGAGCAGTGCTGCCAATCTTCAGGTTACTCAGGACCTGGTAGGTGCTGGGATCCATGAAGAGCTGCATGTGAACCACCAGGTTATTGTTGGCAGCATAGAGCAGCGCAGACAGGGCAAAGGGGGCAGCGTGGCGCCAGGACAGAGACACTCCCAGCTGCCGCCGGTCCCAGGTCAGCAGGGACACGAAGCAGAGCACCAGCTTGGTCAGCTCGGTAAGAACCACAACAGACGAGGCGCTGAACGGGATCTTCCCATCCACTTTACACAGAGTCAGGAGGGGAGCATGGGAGCCATAGATAGTAACAGACAGAACCAGCATCAGTGCCCACAGCCCTCTCCTCAGCCCACCAGTCACAGGGCGGAGCTGGGAGCCAGCAGGACTACCATTCTCAATAAGTATTCCCATGAGGCAGCGGGTCCCAGCTGAGGTAAAGGGTAGCACCTCACGGTCAGCGCCTCAGGAGATGCCAAATCACACCAGGATGTAGATATGTTTCTAAAAATCAAGTCAGCTCCTTGGAAAGAGAGACACAACAAATGCCATATACTTAAGGACAGTCTGATTAGGAAGACACTGCACTATTCTCCACGTGCTCAATGCAAGGAGAGGAACACGTCTGCTCTTCACGGGGGAGAGAAATGGAGGTTTCCCTAGGAATCAGACGACGCACATTTCCTGGGCAAGGGCATTGATACATGGAGGAATGTAAAAAAAGCGTGTGAGATGATCTGACACCGCCACCCTTCCAGTCTACTAGGGGAAAAAGCAGGATGAAAAAACTTCTCTAAGAAAGGCAGTTGTCAAGAGTCAAATCTTCAAACAATGGACAGCTGAAAGCAGCGGTTGCTACCTTCAGGGTATTCTGATTAATATTTTGTAATCAGACCGGCTGATATTTCACACTGATCTGGTATTAAACATGTTTTACAATGGGCCAGAATGACACATGTAGCTGCAGTCCGGGGGGCCCCTTAAGATCATGTCAGAGTTGTCTAGGAGGTCTAAGGTGAGGAGAGATGTTTCTGGAGTGCACTGTTGTCCAAAGAATTCTCCTCTAGTCTGGTCCCTTCCTCAGCGAGCTGATATAGTCTCGGATTGTCTTTTCGACATTGGGAACGGCATAGACCTGAGCTGCATAGATTCCAGTGCAAGTCCCAGCCACAAATCCTAGGACTGCAGAAGATCGGAGTTTGGCTACAACGTAACCTGCCAGAAACCCTTTGAGAAATGGAGATGCCAGCAAAGAGCCATCCTGCAGAGAAAAAAGAAAGAAGGGGATGAAACGGCCTCTCGCACAACATTGTACCTGACTGCACAAAACTGCAGTGTCTCCCCCAGATCTCCCGGGAGTGCTGTTAGCAGGTTTGTGTAACCTCATCCCTGCAGAAGAAATAAATAGAACCTCAGTATTTTGCCAAGAAAAGCAAGTGGAACTAGCATTCCCGTGGGACATTCGTTCTCCCGTCCATTCCAGAACAGCAAGATCACGTGGGAGAGCAAAGCGACCAGAGGGTTAAAGAACTCCAGCTTTACCTGGCCCACCCCAGCCTGCACCTCGTCCTCCACGCGCTGCTGCAAGTTCTCCAGCTGAGACTTCAAAAACGCAAGATCCTTCAGCTTTGGCCGCGAGTCCTGCACAGTGAAAACAAAGTCTCAGCGCGGCAGCGCACAGGCGGCTGGAC